TACATACATACATACATACAATTACATACACAAACACAAACCACACACATACAATAAACAACCACACTGCAGTACTTTAAGTATGTTTATGCATGCACATACTTTTGATGCTGCTGCACACACGCACGCACGCACACATACACTCTTGATGCAGCCTGCGCACACACACATACGCACGCACACTCTTGTTGCTGCTGGCACACACACACATACAAACACACATAGTTGGTAGTATATACACAGTTGTGCATTTATAATTAACAGCAATAACACATGTGTGCAGCCAATAACATTATTACCTTTGTTCATGCACATACATAAAGGCTGTGTGTTTGTGTGTGTATATATATATATATATATATATATATATATATATATATATATGTGTGTGTGTGTGTGTGTATGTGTGTGTGTGTATGCATCTATATTTGTTTGCATGTATGTATATAGATGTAGGTACCAAAGGAAGAAATGAAGGAAGGATGGATATTTATGTTTGTAAAATTGTATGCAAGTTTGTGTGTGTATAACAGTTGAATTAAAATAATTTTTTCTATATTAAAATCACTTAAATGTAATTAAATGATGAAGATTCATTAAAATATACACAAATAGACTTATCTGTACAAATACAAAAAACATAGGCACACATGCACACACATATACAAAAACAGAAAGCCACTAATATACATACCTATTAGACACAGCAGGGCCCAAATACATTTTTCTAAAATAGTGAACTACATAACAACTTTCAAAAAGTGTATGTTGCTTTTTTCATTTATTTAAATTGAAATATGTGTGTGTATGTGTGCGTGTGTGTTGTGTGAGTGAATGAATGATTAAAAAATTTAAAATTAAATTAAACAGGAAAAAAACATAGAAAAATATATAAATCAATTATTAAATTATTAATTTTTGTGTTATTTAACTAATTATTGATGAATTGAAATAAAATTTAATTCAACTTTTAATAAATTTTAGAAAGATTATTTTAATTTAATCAGTATTTTTTTTAAATAAATCATAAACAAATTGAATAAAAAATGAATAAAAATAAAAACAAACCCGGACAAATGGTAATCCAATTTAAAATTACACCAACAAAAAATATGACAAAAAATATTTTTCCAGACCCTGCCAAATCGAAATCACCAAAACAGCAAAAACACCTCATTATAATAAAAAATAAATTTTTAATTGCAATGAATGAATATCGTCATCAGTAAAAACGGTAATTTATAAAAATTTTGTATTATTTTTTAAAGAATAAATTTTGTTGAGATTTAAAAATTAGAAAACATGTTTATTGATTAATTAGCGACCAGACCGAATAAAAACGCCTAGTGTTAGCAAATTTATATAAACATTATTCACTTTTGTAAGCCGTGGAAAGTGAATTTGTTAAGAATAAGTGATGTGCCGTTTATTATGATAATTCAAAATCGGTTCACTAATTTAGCGGATAAATTTGAGGTTTTTTAAATTGTTTTAAAATATTTTAAAACATTTTTTAATTATTTACATTTTTATCATTTTAATTAATCTATTTCAAAACCATTTTCTTCAAGATAAGAAAAATATAAAATTTAAAATTTTATTTAATTTAACTCCATAGTTAGCGCTGTAAAAGCCATACAAAATTTAAAAGTAAATTTGATAAATTTAAAAGTAAAACATTGTAAACACCTTTTTTAAAGTATTTTTTTATTTAAAATTTTATTTTAATGAACAAAATATTTTAAAATTATATTTTGATTAAATAAACATTTTTAAAAGATAATACAAAAAATATTTTTTAAAGAGCTACTTTAGCTTATTAGTTATAATAATCTGAAACATTTGGATATATAAATACATCACATACATTTTATAATGTAAATTAGTATACTTCTATATAAAAAATATGGCTATCAAAGTAGTAAAAATAATATATGTATGACTGTATTTAGTATGATGTGCACGCAGACAGATGGAGAAATACTCGATGTAACTCACAGACATACCAGCAGACATACAAGTAGAAAAACATTTACATTTTCGGTTCCTAATATAAAATAAATAAACGATAAAAAACGGATTAATTTTTAAAAATGCAAACAAAAAATTGCAAATAATTGAATAATTAATTTTGAACATTGGATATTTACCAGCGACCTGTCAGGTCAACCTATATATAGATTACTTTTTAGTGTACTAGTAGGCCAAGGTTGATGTTAGGAATTAGGAAAGAAAGCTGAATTATTAAAAAATTACTACTAATGTATGATATGTAAAAGTGTGCTTTTGCGCCTGTTACTTTCTCCAGGATAGATGGCAGTTATAGTTGTTTAATAATTTAAAACTGTAAAAAATGGCTGATCGGTAATTCCACCTATCTTCTATTTAATTTAACTAACTAACCAAACCCTGCAACTGACTGGTTTTCATTTTGCTATGCTGTTTTTTGTGATCAGTCAGTAGTTACACTAATCTGGAAACTTAAAATTAGTAAAACATGGCCGTCACTGTGTGCTTACCAGTTCAGGGATGGAATAATAATTTTTTTTAATTGTTTTTAAATTTATTGAAATGACAATTATTTGCTGTTTTATAAATAAATAACGAATATAACATAGTTTGTAAATTAATATTTGCTAACATTAAAATAATTTGATAAAATAATATTTTAAATAAATACTGAAAATGATTGACAAATATAATAACTATAGGCATTTTAAATTGGATATTTACCAAGTGAGATTTGTGCTATATGTCTGAATATGCTGTTTGGCTTCTCTTAATTTTTTATCAATCTTTTAAAAGTTTTGGCAATTAATTAATTAATGAATAAACATAATTTTTCATTATATCATGGTGTGTTTATCTATCTAGAAATGGATAATGTATTTTTATTTCTAACTGTATCTATGAAAATAGATCTCTATCTATTTTTATTTATCTTTTATTTTATGAACACCATCTTGATCTAGAAAACACTAAAATTATAGTGAACATGATATCTGTGCATGTAATTCTTAAAAAATGTTACTACTACTATATGTTGTGGAAAGAAATGCCTTTGATGTGTAACTAGTAATTCTAAATAGTAATGGATAACCATTAGTTGTTTGTAATGCTATGGTGTAATAGTGGTAGTAGTAGTTAATAGTAATAGTAGTAGTTATAGTAGTAGTAGTTGTTGTTGTTGTAGTATAGAGAGTCAATCAACTTAAAAAAAAATTTTTTACAGTGTTTGTATAACGTGTCAAAATCTAACAACGTTGCGCAATGACTAATCATCAGCCGAAGAAAAAATACCTTTCTCAGCTGCGACACTCCACGAATGAAGATGATCAACTGCAGCAGCAACTTCAACAGCAGCAACAACAACATGTCCAGCAACAACATTTGCAACAAATACAGCAGCAACAACAACAGCAGCTTCAACAACAACAATTTTTTAGTAAAGAATCACCGAATAGTCATCTGCTGGAGTTGCAACATCAACAACAACGACAACTTCAGCAACTGCAGCAACAACATCAGCTGCAGCAGTTACAACAGCAGCAACAACTTCAGCAACGAAATCTAGATTTCAACCTATCTCCAACTGGTAGCAACAAAAATGAAATTTTGGGTGTTGTAGATCACCAGGCGAGTCATTCGACACCAACTTCACCCACACTCCTAATGCTGCCTAATCTGCCTGAACTAATCCCTAACAATTCGAACAATCCGACAACCAACTTTCTTGGTAGAGGTGCAGCACAACTTCAGTTTCCTCAGTCCCAATTCCTCAACTACCAGCCATCTTATGGGGAAAAATTCAACCAGGCAAAATCGAAAGACCCAAGTGATGTTCGACAACCGCCTAACTTACTCTGGCTGCCTCAAGGTGATGATGAGGGAAATGGACCGTTGAATCGGTTGCTGATCACCAGCACGAACAATCCGAGCGCTAATCAGGCAGGTTCGACTGCAAACTTTCCGAACGTTAATCACTTATCGCCATTATCTCCACCTCTGCATCTGATGAAAAATCAAAATGTATTCAAACAAGCACTGCCTCATCCTCTCATGCAAGCCTCCCCAACGACACCGACTTCAGCAGCAATGGCGTCAAGTTCGTTAGCGACGACACCAACAACGACTGCATCAACTTTCATCCTACCTACCTCACCACATCAACATCAGCAACATCAACATTTGTTGTCTGCCAATGCTGCTCAGATGAAAATGGCGTCCATTGTCACACCCATGATGGTCTGTCTGACGCAGGTCAACAAAACTGCAGCAGTTGCCGATTTAAAAGTTCATCGCAATTTCAGTGCCTCAGACGAATTGTCCATTCTACAAATCAAGGAAGAAATCTCGCCTTTGATTGGCTGTAACGATCGAAACGATGACGACAATGACGATAACGATAATAATAATGATAATAAAATGATATCACCTCACTTGCCTAGCCACCATCGTCATCACCAGCAGCAGCAGCAGTTAATATACACGCAGCAACAACAGCAACAACAGCAGCTACTAAACACTTACTACCATCAGCATCAGCGAATCCAACAACAATCTAGTAGGTCGGACACGGAACCATCAACACAGGAACAACAGCCAAGACAAAACTACTCGACAGCTAACAACAACAGCAGCGTGAATAGAACGGCGTCGTCTTCCACATCACCTCAGCAGCAGCAGCAAAACTTCCAACACCTCCACGAGCAAATGCAGCAGCGTCCGATGCTTACTAGTTCCGGTCGCAACAAAGGAAGTGGAAAGCCTTTGGAACCTAAGCATGCTTGCCAGGTTAATGAATGGATGGATGGATGGATTGACTGGAGAACGGATGGAAGGATGAATGAATAGATGATAGAATTGATTAATAAATAGACAAATGGATTGATAGATAAAGGAATTGATTGGTTGATGGATGAGTTGATGAATGGATTATAATTATGATGAATGGATTAATTAATTAATTAAATTTAATTACTCTATTTTACACCAAATAGGTGTGTGGGGACGTTGCGGCTGGTTTCCATTGTGGGGCTTACGTCTGTGAAGCTTGCAAAGTTCGTTGTTGACGATGCTGATGATGATGCTGGCGTTGATGATGATGATGATGATGATGCTGGTGTTGATGGCGATGATGTTTTCTTAATTAATATAGAAAATACTTTTTCAGCTTAGCAAGTTGACCAAGTAAATTTAGGATGAAAATATAACCAAAGAAATAATACTTTTTCAGAAATTTTTTCTCCGCTGCTTAAAAACCGGCCGGGGACTTATGTTTCTATGCCCTAAAAATAGCAACTGCGACATCACGAAGGAGACGCGGTCACACTGCCAACGCTGTAGGTACCAGAGGTGCATTGCCCTGTCCATGTACAAACCAGGTCAGTAGGTCGAGAGGTCAACACGGGCATCGTCATCATCTTAATCATTTTCATAATCAGAATCTTCTTCATCGCCATCATTTCAGGTCGAGAAGATGACAAAAAATTGAAGGTTGACTATAGGTCAATACCGTGCAAAGTCTGCAAGGCACCGTCTTCTGGGTTCCATTTTGGCGCCATCACGTGCGAAGGGTGCAAGGTGTGAATGCCTGATATCTATCTAATTTCATTTGCTTGCTATATCTATCTAAACACCTTTGTGATATTTACTTGATTGGTTTATTTTTATTTTCTCGTTTTAATGGCGTTTTGTGTATCACTTATGAATTTATTTTTATAGATAAGTTAATGTTCGTAAGTTCGACTTTATTTTTTGTCGCGGTGCTTCTTTCTTGACTCATTTGTTATCATTATCATCTTCACCATCATCATCTTCAACATCTTCATCCTCATTATTTTGACCATCATCTTAGACATCTTCGTCATCATCTTCATCCTCATCATCTTCATCATCTTCAACATCTTTTTCATCCTTCTCTTCATCGTCACCACATTGTAAATTTGACTTTATTTTTTGTGGCAGTTCTCCTTTCTTGACTCATTTGTTATCATCTTCTTCATCTTCAACATCTTCATCATCCTCATCATCTTCATCACCCTCGTCATCTTCAACATCTTCATCATCCTCATCATCTTCATCATCCTTCTCGTCATCATCACCATCAGGGGTTCTTCAGACGCATGTTGAAGGAGCAGGTGCACCGGAAGTTCATATGTTCGAACGATGAGAGATGCAACATTGACTCGGCCAACCGCACAACGTGCAAATCCTGCAGGTTCAACAAATGTATCAAAATCGGGATGACACTTGAAGGTGCTGCTGCTGCTACTGCTGCTGCTGCTGATGATGATGATGATGACGACGACGATGTGGTGATAATGATGATGATGTGGTGGTGGTGGTGGTGATGATGATGTGGTAGTGGTGATGATGATGATGTGGTGGTGGTGATGATGATGTGGTGGTGGTGGTGATGATGATGATGATGTGGTGCTGGTTGTGATGACGATGATGTGGTGGTGGTGATGATGATGTTGTTGTCAACCAATCAATGTGCTAGACCCGTCAATTCAATAAATACCTCGAAATTGGAGTGAATTTGCAAGATGACGGAGATGATGTTGTTTTGGTGGTACTGCTGATGACGATTTTATTTCGATTAATGGTAGGTTTCCGGAAAATTCATCATGGTGGAAAATTCATCGTGGAGTAAAATTCATCGGCGGTGATTCGTGGGGTAAAATGAATCTTGATGGCCACGTAGTTGACAATTGAGGCAGGCGTATCGAGCGGTCCGGCCAACGGTCCGACCGTTTTCTGTAGACCTTCTCGTACAGGGTTCGATCGCGAGCCGAGCAAGTGCAATTAGCTTGAAGTTCACTCGAATTCAAGTTGAAATTTGACAAAATTAATTGAAAGGATTCGAAATGTGAATTATTTTCAAATATACATTAATAGATCGTTGATTCAACGACAGTATTGGCAAGGTCAGGAATCGAACACAACACCAACAACTGTACCAATCAATCGATAAATTAATTAATTAAGCCGAATAATGAATCAATTTCGGCAATTAATTGACGAATTAGGTCTAATGGTGAATAGATTTCGGCATTTTAACGATTAAACGATAGTTAGCAATTAGTATTATATTGCACGATAGGGATTGAACCTACCGCCGCTGGTCACTTGAAATCGTATTGACATTTGGACATCTAACCATCACTAGTATATTTGCAACATCGTAAACTTGACTATCTTACATTTTTGAATTATAACAATAACAAAATGAATTATCCACCATGATTTTTACCCCACGATGAATTTTCCGAAAATCCTGATGGTAATGATAGTGACGTTGTTGCTGGGGCGTGGATTGATCGATTGATTGACAGCTGATTCGTGAGGTAGTTTTCTTCGAGGACCCTAGCGATCGACGATGTTGTTGCGTTGTTTCATTTTGGTTTGTCATCACCACCATCCCCATCGTCATAACTATTATAATCATCACCATCATAATCATTACCCTTATCATCATCATCAGGTACTCGGCTGGGCCGGCAATCGAACTCGGTGAAACGGGGCGTGATAAACTCCTTCCTTTCCGATGTACATAAGCAAATTCTCACGGAGAAAAGTGGTGCCTGTGTATCGTCCTCCAACGACTCAACCTCAACTACCTCTAATCAAAACTTCGCATCGACCTCTCTGGCGACTGCGAACTTTGACCCGAACAACCCGTCCGCCCTTAGGCGATTGCTAAGCGACGCTGAGGCAAGTAGGAGGAGGAATCTTTCTAGGGATGAAGATGATGACGACGAGGACGACGACGAAGATGAGAGAGATGATGATGATGATGATGGAGAGGATGAGGAGGAGGAAGATGGTGGAGTCGGTGGTGACAGGCAGCAGGGCAGGCAGCAGTACAACGTCGACGACGACGTCTTCGTCAAGAACCACCACCACCACCACAACTCAAATGTTGCGGCCACTGGAGACTTCTCGGCGACGGCCACTGCATCGCATTTCAACAGTCTTCAACATCAGCAACAACAACAACCGCATCATCACCAGCATCACCATCAGCAGATGTTTCCACAACAACAGCAACAACACCATCGTCATCAACAATATTCTTCTTACGAAGATTCTTGCCATTCTAACTCTGAATATTTACTCAGTAGCAGCAGTAACGTAGCGAAACATTCGCAGCATTCATTCGCGCTTCACTCACTCGATGACGACGACGATGACGATGACGTCAACAACAACAACAATAGTAATAATAATGTAAACAACATAAACAACAACAACAAACTCTTGCTGACTCAGTCAGCATCATTTCAAGGCAACCTTGTCTTGAAAGCAGAACCTATGGAGTGCGCTGAAGATAATCTAGTTAGTTTTATCTCGAATACTCCAATCTCTGATGAAAATTACCCCATAAATCAGCCACCAACTGCCAACCAATTAAATCACGCCACGCCCACTTTCAACCCCCATCATCTGAACACCAGCCAATTAGCTTACGAGTTGACTCAGGGATATAATTTGATTGGCCGGACTATAAATAATCCTACAACGCAATTGGTCGTCGACAGGAGCCTGTATAGGAGACCTAAACAGCTGTTCGAACATCTCATCAGATCTTACAAGCGATTGGACGATGTTTGGATCAGAGTTAGACACTTTCTCTCTATCCTGTCATCGTAATTATCATAAATTATGATAATTATCATCACTCTATTTTATGATCATAATTAATTTTATCATCATCGTAACTAATATTTAATTTTTTCGTCATCATCATCATCATCATCAAAACCAGCCCTCGGAGTTGGAGGACCTGATGTACTGCCCCGCCACCCTGGACACAATCTGGAAGTTGGTGGACATCCCCTTTCTATACATGGTCCGACTGGCCGTCAGATTTTTTAGGGATGTGCCTGGTTCGTTTTTATTTGGTCGTCGTCATTTTCATTGCTATTGTTTGCTCAAGTTTTTTTTTTTGAAAATAAAAACTTCACCATCATCGTCAGGTTTCCTTGACCTTCCGCTTATTGACCGCATCCAGCTGACCAGAAACTCCGTCTACCCACTATGGCTACTCTACCACTCAATGAACTTTGACCTCGAAAAGCTCGAATGCCATTGGTTCACGATGACCAATAAGGAGAAAGATCTTATACTGGCCTATATACCGCCTCTGCATAATTTAGTCGGCCATTTTAAGTTAGTCGTAGTAATGATGATGATGGTTGTTTTGATGATGACGAAGACATGATGATGATGAAGATAATGATGAAGAAGAAGATGATGAAGATGATGATGAAGATGATGATGAAAAAAATTTGAATTTGAATTTAGTTACATGATTTAGAAGAGCTTATTAATAACATAAGTAAGTAGCATCATCGCCTGTCATCATATCTCGACACGATTTATTCCATATTTAATTTGGTTCGATTTTTGAACTTTGACTTTTTTCGGTACTGGCTTAAGTCATCGTCATCACCATAACATCATTATCATCATAACATCATTGTCATCATCATCACATCATTATCATCATCGTAACATCATTATCATCACCATCAGATCAATCGGTTTTTCGATCAAGAGTTTGAATTTGACCGACATGGAGGCGGCTTTCTTAGCTTCAATGATGCTGCTGTCGTCATCAGGTAATGATGATGATGATGACGATGATTATTATTATTATTATTATTATTGTTATTATTATTGTTGTTTTTATGGGGACAGATTTGACCAGTGGCCATGAATCATCTAATTTGCTGATGGGTGTTGAAGATGAATTGCTAGAGGCTTTCACTAATCTTCAAATTGAAAGTTTGCCTTCTTCTTCAATCAATCAATCAGTCAATTAATCAATCAATCAACAAATCAAGCATTCATTTAATCAATCAATCAGTAATTGGTTTTCCGGTTTTTCTAATCACTTATGATGGCCCGAAAATATTTTTATAAAATTTAAAAAAATTTTCAGTTGCTGATGACAACAACAACAGCAGTTGCAAAAACAACAACAACATCAACGCTGACATGCAGACAAAGTTCTTCCCAGACGATAACAACAACAACAACGTCAATAACAACAACCTCTTAACAACAACATCAACATCATCATTAGAAAAGACACAACAACAGCCAACAACGGCCACATCAACAACAACAGCAGCAACAACAATCTCATCTCCTCCACCTCTTACAGCAGCAGCAACAACAACAACATCAACACCGCCAGCAACATCATCAGCAACAACAACGACGACGATGACCAGATTAGCAATCCTATTAGCGCGATTGGCTGAGCTAAAAAGGGCATATTTGGAGCATTGCTCAGTAGCCAATAAGATCCAGCGGGTGTTCGTGAACATAGAAACCAGTAGATTATGGCGGGAAGTATTTGTTTACGATAACCAATCATTTGGCTATGATTGGTCAATTGACTGACTGGTAGATTGACTGATTGGTTGGATTTTGTTAATTGCTTGGTTTGCTCCGTTTCGTTGTTTGGTTGGTTGATAGATTAGTCCAGTTGGTTGATTGGTTGGTTGATTGATTGATTAATTTGTTTGTTTAGCTGTTTGGTTGTTTGATTGATTGATTGATTGATTGATTGATTGATTGATTGATTGATTGATTGATTGATTGATTGATTGATTGATTGATTGATTGATTGATTGATTGATTGATTGATTGATTGATTGATTGATTGATTGATTGATTGATTGATTGAGGAGGAAGAAGAGGAGGAAAGAATGAAAATGATGGAAGTTAATATGGCTTCAATCTTTCATCACTTTTATCCTGACCTGAAATTTTAAATCTTCTTATTATTATTTTTGTTTTTATTATTGTTATTATTATTACCCTTGTTTTAGATATAGAGATTTTTTTTTTGTTTTTTTGTTTTTCCGCTGGGTTCTTTCTGATTTATATATATATATATATATATATATATATATATATATATATATATATATATATATATATATAGTGTTTTGGGAGATTTTTAAAAAATGTTTTTTGGTTGTTGTTTTTTAATTAATGCAAATTTATTTTAATTTTACGGTTTAGTTTCTTTGCTATTTTTAGCAAATTGTTATTACCGTTGTCAATTTTTGTTGTTTTTGTTTTTATTATTATTATTGTTGTTGTTGTTGTTGTTGTTGTTGTTGTTGTTGTTGTTGTTGTTGTTGTTGTTTAATATTATTAATATAAGTTTCGCTTTCAGTTTATTGGAAATTTTCCAAATTTTGATTTAGATTCGGTTTTTTTTGCACGTCAAACAAACTCAACAAAAACTTAAACTACCGCACAATCAACTACATCAACAACATTAACATCAAAACATTAACAACAACAACATCAACAAAAATGCGTTAACAACAGCATCATCATTGACATCAATAACAACAACCACTTTAACAATTTATACGTAAGTACATATAACAAGCAGTTGACACTAACATCGCAAGAATTTTACCATCATTTCATATTTCTATCTCTATCTATTTATCTATCTATCTATCTATCTATCTATCTATCTATCTATCTATCTATCTATCTATCTATCTATCTATCTATCTATCTATCTATCTATCTATCTATCTATCTATCGATTTTTTGACTCCAAATCCGTTTGTCTGTCAGTCTTTTTATTCTTTCATCTACCTGTTCGTCAGTCTCTCTATCTAACAATCTATCCATTCATTCATTTAACGATCTATCCATCCATCTATCTATTCATCCATCTATCTATTCATCCATCTATCTATTCATCCATCTATCTATCTATTCATCCATCTATATGTCCATCTATCCATCCATCCATCTATCCATCCATCCATCTATCCATCTTTTTTTTCATCTATCCATTCGGAAAAAAGTTTATTTTTATACGCAAATAAAAAGTTGTTAATAGTTTGGTCCATTGTATCTAGCTCGGGTTCTTAACGAATAACTTACAAAGTTTGATTTCTTTCTTTCTACTTGTTTCTCTTTGATTTAGTTCTCCGTAGAAAATTCACATTTAAATTTTGTCGCGTTATTTAGTTTTTTGTTGTTGTTGTTTTTGATTAACTATTTAAAATTTTTCAGTTTAAAAAACATTCTAATTGGTTATTTTTCTCCGTTAGTTTAATACGAAATCTTTTCTTTTGTTTGTACTTACATACATACATGCGAACGCATACATACCAGCATGCATACACATCTGCATACATACATACATACGTACAGACCTACATACATACATACATACGTACAGACATACATTTATACATACATACATAAATTTAATATCATGTTTAATTTTGTTTTATTTTTCAAATTTATTTTCCAAAGCGTTAAGGCTCCAATATATTTTTGCTTTAAACATACTTATGTATACAAATAAATATACAAATACATTCACACACACACACACATTGAAGGCTTTAACCATGGGCTCATACATACAAACATACATACAGACATACATACATACAAACATACATACATTAATCAGTTAATCTGCGAAGAGTCTTACACACATACATACACACACACACATACATACATGCATACAAACATGCATACACACATATACATACATACATACCTACTTACATACATACATACACACTATGGTACACACACATATATACACACTGTAAATATTTCTTCCTAAATTTTCAAATTGACATCATTTTTTGGCTTGCTATTATTAACCGTTTCTAAATTGTTACTGTTGATTAACAAACTAATATCATTTTTAACATTTTACCTAGCTAATTGGTTTATTATTATTGTTATTGTTGTTGTTGTTGTTGTTGTTGTTGTTGTTGTTGTTGTTGTTGTTGTTGTTGTTGTTGTTGTTGTTGTTATCATTATTATTGTTTTTGTTACCTCTTAGTTATATTCCTATTTGTTTTTCTTATTATTTTTTTCTGGGCGTTGGTTTTGTTTGCATGCTTGGTTTTATATTTATTATTATTTTTTTGTTACTGTTGTTGTTGTTATTGTTGCTGTTGTTGTTGTTGTGGTTTCTGTTATTGTTGTTGCTGTTGTTGTTTTTTCTGTTATTGTTGTTGTTGTTGTGGTTTCTGTTATTGTTGTTGTTGCTGTTGTTGTTGTTGTTGCTGTTACCAATTTAATCTTTATATCATCACCATCATCGTCATTATTATTATCATTATCGCCATAAGTTTAGTTATTATTATCATCATCGTCGTCGTCATCGTCATCATCTATGATCATTTTAATCGTTAAACTGTTAATAGAGTCTTATACACACACTCCATATATTACATAAACACACACACACACGGACGCACACAGAACGACAAATGCACGCACACACACACACACATACACACGTGTATACATTTTTATTTATAATAATAATTGATGCTCCACGTATGCCGGGCTAGCGTTCTATATTTTACGTGCTGTCCAACATTTTATGTTATTATTATTATTGTTTTTATGATTATTATTGCTTTTATTATTATTGCTTTTATTATTTATTATTATTATTGTTCTTCTTCTTATTATTTATATTATTTAAAATGGCGACTTTTCTATTTCACTATTTGTGCCTAGATGTGCATTGGTATGAGTGTGTGTATGTGTGTGTTTCTGTGTGTTTCTGTGTGTGTGTGTGTGTATGTCTGTATGGTGTGTGTATGTATGTATGTTAATTAGTTTGAGACTTGTTTCATTTCATCGTCACCACCATCATCGTCGTCGTCGTCATCATCATCATCGTCATCAGTTATAATTTAACAAATTATAATGATAAATAACGAATATTGATAAATAGTATTGATAAATAATAATAATAATAATAATAATAATAATGATAATGTACATGTATTTGTGTATAAAAGTGTATTTTTATCTTATTGAAATGCGCGTTTTGCGGTTATGCACGTGTCTATGCTTTCCTATTATTATTATCACTATTATTATTATTATTACTATTATTATTATTACTATTACTATTATTATTATTTTCATTTTTTGCCTTCTCCTATCAGGTAAGAACAAACCCCCTGTATCTGAATATTTGCCTATCTGTTTGCATGTTTGCATGTTCATTTGTATGTTTGTTTGTATGTATGTATATATATATATATATATATATATATATATATATATATATGTATATATATATATGATTTTGACGTATTATATGGTATATATATATACATTTAGAATGTAGTAAAGCTTATAGATACGTTCTTCTTATTTAACTTTTCGGTTAACTTTTTAATGTTATTATTATTCTCTATTATTATTATTATTTTTTATTATTATGATTATTAGTTATTATTATTATAATTGTGGATGTAGTTTGTTGTTTTTATTTTCTTGCATCCTATCTTAGTTTTCCATGATGACGAAGAATACGATGACGATAACGATGATGATGATGATGACGATGGTGATGATGACAGTGGTGATGATGATGATAATGATGACGATGATGATGATAATGACGATGATGATGATGATGATAAGGGAAAAGTGGAAAATTATGACATAGACGGTGATGATGAAGATTTTTTTTTTCTTTATACAAAAATCAGGTATGCTTTATAAGTGCTAACGAATTGTTATTTGTTATTGTTATTACCCATTATTATTATTATTATTATTATTATTATTATTATTATTATTTATTATTATTATTTATTATTGTTATTTATTATTATTGTTGTTGTTATTAGTTAATTGATTAATTGATTAGTTTAAATAATTGTATAATTTTTTAAAAAGTTTAGCTGCCTTCAGCAATGTGTACCTATGCTTATTTGTTTTTTTTCTACTACTTTTTTGTCATTGTTATCTGTAAAAATAATAATAATAATATAATAATAATACAATAATAATAACGATAATAATTTTTCAGTATATCTCCATTGGACAGTTATTGATACCAGCATATTTTGTGGAACCATAATAAAAATACTAATAATATATAATGAATAATATTAAGGATTGTTATTATTATTATTAATTTATTGGCATGAAATGCACGATATTTATACTTATTGTAATGAGTATTAGTGTAGTTACTACTACTGCTGCTACTAATGCTACTGCTACTGCTGCTACTACTACTGCTACTACTGCTGCTACTACTGCTGCTGCTACTACTACTACTACTACAGCTGCTGCTACTACTACTACTACTACTATTACCATTGCTGCTGCTACTACTACTGCTGCTGCTACTACTACTGTTACTGCTACTAGTACTACCACTTGTTCAAACCACTACTATTGCTAGTAATACCACCTTTACTACTACTACGACTGCTGCTGCTGTTACTACCACAGCTTCTACTTCAACTTCTGCTACTTCTACTCCTACTTACCGTCATTACTAAGAACCATTCGGCACTTAACGTTATGTGGTAATACTTTTTAAAAAATACTTTTGCATTAGAATTGTAATCTGCAATGCAGTGTAATTATAATTGTAATGTAAATGTAACTGGGATACTTTTGGTGAATAGTGCTAGGGTTTTACTGACGATCCATCAACCAATTTGCTATCTACCACAATTAGGAGATAGTAATTCGTAATTGAGCAGTATTTTATAACTATTTCTACTGGCCAATGGCGTGAATGAATGAATGAACGAACGAATAAACGATTGAATGAATCACAGAATGAATGAATGAACAAATAATATAAACGATAAAATAATGATCTGTTTGGTCCGTCAGTTAATTGTTATATTTAAATAGATGAGTTTTTCAAATGCTATTTTCTTTATATATATATATATATATATATATATATATATATATATATATATACAATGATGATATATGTACAACAATCTGCATATTAGATGTATCTTAGGCCAGTATAATGACGCTAATGATACTAATAAAGATAACGGAGATGTTACTGGTGATGATTGTAATGGTGATGGTAACGATGGTGATGATTGTGATGATTGAAATAGCGATAATGGAAACAGAATTTTTCTAGAAGTTGTCTTTGGTGACGATAACGATGATGACGTGGTAATGATGATGATGATACCGACTATGACAGTGCTGATGATGATCATAACAATGATGATGATGATGATGATACTGTCTTCATGTCAAGAGCTACCTCAACATAAAGAAATACTTGTAATTAATAATATATATTATTATTCTTTTTATTTATTATTATTATTCCTATTATTATTATTGATAATAATAATAAGTTTTATTTTATTCAATTTTCTCCTTTTAACTCAAAGCAATTGAATCGCGCTTTTTTCTGACTTAATTTTAAAAACGCTTATAGCTATATTAATTATAATTAATTAATTAATTATATACAAATATTATTATTATAAATAATAATAATCGTGGATTTGTTTCATTTATTAATTACTGTTTACATGCTATATATATATATATATATATGTGAACAATAACATTATTTTAGTCAATAAATCAATACCTTATGTTTGTTTTAACTTCAATTCACTTTTACTCTCAATATAAATATGTGTATGTGTGTGTGACGTAACATAGATTAATTTTAATTGTCTGTGTGTATGTCTCTTTCTCTTTTTGTGTGTGTGTCTTTCTGTGTGTGCGTGTGTATGACGTAACATAGATAAATTAATTTTAATTTATGTGCAGCATAATTTTTTATACTGTCCCTCCCTGTGTGTGTGCGTGGGTGTGCGTGTGTGCGGGTTTGTTGAAATGTTCAAACAGCCAGATAAGTTAATGTTCAATTTAATGGTAGATGGTTATTATATTTCGTTTTGTTTTCTTTGTAAGTTAATTAATTTATATTTCTATGGTTTTTAATCATAATTAATGCTAATTATGATAATTAATTATATATATATATATATCTTTTTTGTATACGCTTGGTTTAATGTTCTCTATACTAAATGTCCTCTTCTTCTCTAAATGTGTCTATAAATGTTTAAGAATCAAACTAATGAATAATACAATTAATAATACTATCATATAATAACACTAATAATTGTGCACCAGTCAATCTATCAATCAATCATTCAATTAATCAATCATTCAATTAATCAATCTATCAACTGAATGCCAATCAGACAATTTTTTTATAATTGAATAGTTATTTTACATACATCTTTTTTAAGAGCGCTTACACACACACCCATATATATATATATATATATATATAAATATATATATATATATATATATATATATATATATATATATATATATATATATATATATATGTATGTATGTATATGTATAACTAAAATAATTTTACTATCATCTTGGCAAATTAATCAATTGATCAGTTTATTTTTTCGTTTTTTTGTGTGTTTTGATGAATGTGATTATTATTATTATTATTAACTTTTTAACACTATTTTTTCTGAATAAAAGGTTTTTTAAAATAAAATAAAACTATATATATATATATATATATGTATATATATATATATATATATATATACGACAGTAACATAAGCATACATAGAAATAAAGAATATATATATACATACATATAGTGTAAGTCAATATACCTATTATGTTACAATATCTCTAAGTGGTTATCATATGATAATGAAGATGATGAGTTTGGATACAATTCTGATGATGTTAATGGTCGTATGGATGATGATGATGGTAGTAAAGATTGTAACGATTAAAGTAATGACTAAAATGAAGGTAGCATATACATACATACATACATTCATATATATATATATATATATATATATATATATATATATATAATGAGCAAACAGTGTACACTAAAAACAGCTAAAAGTAAACTTAAGACATAAAACGAGGTTAGAACAAAAAACGAACAAACAAGCAAACAAAAAAACATTAAAATATTAATACAGCCATTAAAATTTGAGAATAAATGTAAAAGCGCTATGCACCAAAATAAGGAAATAGTAATGTAATATATATACACATATGTGTTTGTGTGTGTATGAGTGTGTGTGACTGTGTATACTATTCTCTATAGCTTTGCTATTAAAGTACATATGCGGCCCTTCAAAGGTCAGATAGTTGTCAATTCGGCCCTTCAAAGGTCAGATAGTTGTCAATTGGACCCTCAAGGCAAAAAATTTGCCCACCCCTGTCCTAACCATATCTGTGTGTATGTTTGCTTAGGTATTTTTGTAAATATGAATGTGTGTATGTTTCTTTGTTTGTTTGTGTACGTGTGTGTGTGGTGTGTGTGATAAAACCACCCTCATATATATTGAAAAGCACAACGAATAATATATGTTATAAGGATCGCGAAGATACGAAAAAAGATATAACCAGTTAATTAATTAATTATTTAACCAATTAACAAATTAATTCAAAATAACATGAAATATGGCGGCAAATAAAACTATTAATATTGAAATACAATTTAATGTAACATTGGGTTTGTACACGGATTAAATTTAACGATGGTATCTTGTTGTACGTCTGTCTATGTATGTATCAGCATGTGCATCTGTGTGTATGTGTGTGTTTTTGCTTGTATATGTATGTGTCCGTCTGAATGTATGTTTGTTTGTACGAATGTATGTATGTATTTTTGATAGATATATATATATTTATATATGAAAGAATTTATATGAATATTAATAAAAACATCAAGATATCTATCTGTATCTATCTGTATCTATCTATAAATATGAATTTCATTTTATTTACTAAAACTCTGAAGTCTATAAGTATTTTTCAAGGGTATTTTATGCAATTATAAAGCATTTAAATGATAAAAATGATAATATAAAAATAAATGGTTGAATATTATTTAATAAAATGGCCAAAAGAAATTTAATACGGACGAAAAAGAAGCATTTTTATACAATGAAAAATTTGTCGTCATGAGTTTAGGTTTCGAAACGAAATTGTACATTTAAAAAAATTAATTTGACTATCTATCCATCTAGCTTTTCGTCTATCTATCTATCTATCTATCTATCTATCTATCTATCTATCTATCTATCTATCTATCTATCTATCTATCTATCTATCCATCCATCCATCTAACCAAATCACTTTTATTCAATCAAAAAAAAAAACAAAAACCTATTTCTTTCAATCTATTTCTATCATTCCTCCAGATATTCGTATCGATTTCTATGATCTATCATTCATCCAGATATTCGTTCGTTCATTCAACATCATTCGTTTGAATCTACCTTTCTTCAGTCAGTTCATTCGTCTTTTCATCTATCCAATAATGAAATCATCATTCTATCCGCCTTACCATTCGTTTCTCAATTATTTCATTCAATCATTCATTCACTTATTCATTCATTCATTCATTCATTTCCCATCATATTATTAATTCATCCAACTTCTAATTCATCTCCTCAACCTATCTATCCATCTATTATTTATTATCACCGTTCATCTATTCATCCATTCATTCATTCATTCATTCATTCATTCATTCATTCATTCATCCAATCATTTCTTTAATAATCAATCCATCCATTCATTCACTCATCTAATCACTCACAACTGACTTAAGCTAATTAATATATGCGGCGAAAATACTTGTATTAACACACACATATAATATATACAATATTTGATGCAATATATATATATATATATATATTTTTTACAATATTCTATAAATTCTACCGAATGTTCATTCAAATATAAACATTCGGTAGAATTTATAGAATATTGTAAAAATTATGGTCTATTACCAACATATATATATATATATATATATATATATATATATATATATATATATATATATATATATATATATATATATATATATATCAGTATTTATATGGCAAATGAAATAAAATAAATTAAAACATTTAAAAACATGATCAGACTAAAATATGGTTGAATGAATGAAACTAAATAAAGCTAAACTAGAAAAAACACGAAAATGTTGAATACACATAAAACACACAAACACACACACATGTTTATGGGCACATATATAAATACAAACACACATATCTACAATTAAATCTCATATCTACAAACGTACATACACATATACAAACAAAACACAGAAACACTAATACGAACACACATATAAACATACACATACACTAACATTATACACACATGCACACACACACACACATATATATATACGTACAAACACATATACACTTGCACACGCACACACACAATTAAAAATATCATAATTAACATAATTATTAGCTATAATCAATCTAATTTTTCTTCTTCATTCTAGGCTTGATCATTTCAGACATCTGCCAGAGTGACTCTTCGCTAATGAAGTCGTCAAAATTGTTGAAATATGAAATTATCTTGTCATTGCGCTTGATACAGTATCTAGAACTGTGTGTTGGTATTTATGTGCGTATGTGTGTGTGTGTGTGTATGTATATGTGTGTGTATGTATGTGTGTGTGTGTTTGTGTAAAATGATAGAAAATGATAGATTATTATCTTGTCGTCCTGATTGATACTGTATCTAGAGCTGTTTGTACGTGTGTGTGTGCACGTACTTTTAAATATGTGTGTGTGTGCGTGAGTTTGTTTGCGAGAGAGAGAAAATGTGTGTGTGTGTGTGTGTGCACGTACTCGTGAATGTGTGTGTGCATGAGTCTGTGTGTGAGAAAGAGAGAGAGAGAAAGAGAAAGAGAGATAGAGATAGAGATAGAGAGAACAATGAATGACAAAAAGATCAAGGAACCTCTTTTTAAATCTCAACATGATGCTGATGACGCCAAATAGTTGCCAACATTTGTTGAAGTTGATTCTCCCGTCATCGTCTGTGTCAGAATTACCGACGTGAATAAAGGTCAGATCTTGTAATACCAGACCGCTGTTTGGTTGGTTGGTTGGTTGGTTGGTTGATTGGTTGGTTGGTTGGTTGATTGGTTGGTTGGTTGGTTGATAAAAACAAACATACATACAGACAAACAAACCAACATATATGCATACAAACAAACATACATGCAAACAATTGAATTAACCGCAAACAAACATATATACAAACAAACAAACAGACATACAGATATACATACAGACAAACATATACACATACAAACAAACATACACATAAACATACAAATAATCCGCAAACAAACATACATATAAGGTATACAAGGCGGTTCTGTGCTAGCCAACGTCTGCCTGTATGTTCTGAACGATGCAGAACTATCAATCAAACTGAACAAATCTTTCAATGTCTGTGTAAATAAGTTTTTGTGTGTGTGTGTCTGTGTTTGTGTGTGTGTGGTGTGTGTGTGTATGTGTAGTGTGGTGTGAATGTTACAAACATCTGTGTGACAGATACTCAAATATAATTATAGAATGGCACGTGTATCATCATTTTTCATTGTTGTAGCGGCACAACAATGAAAACAATCAGTATCAGAAATTTGTATCATCATCAAAATCATCATCAAAACTTCCATCGACACTGTCGTTGTCGTCACCACAATAACCACCTCGACATGTTGTTTGGGCCAGTCGAGCCTTCTGAGGGGGGCACTGTCCAGGGCTGACAGGATGGCCAGGTAGGAATTAAAGTTACTCAAGTCTCTGAGGTGCTATGATTGGATGTGAGATTGATTGAGTGATGGTTGGTTGGTTGATTGATTGAATGATTGGCTGGTTGATTTATTGGTTGATTGATTGATTGATTGGTTGATTGATTGATTGATTGATTGATTGATTGATTGATCGATCGATCGATCGATCGATCGATCGATAACAACCTTCATAATCTTAATGAACTTGATGAAATACTTCTCCCTCTCTTTTCCGTCCTCTCTATCTACAATTCGCGTTCTACACCTAAAACCATGATGACGATGACGATGATGATGACGACGATGACGATGATGATAAATGACGATGATGATAATAATGATAAGTAACTACATCCAAACAGACAAACAAATCAACATACCAAGACTCGTTACATACATACATACAAACAAACAAACATACATACAAACAAACAAACATACACACATACATACATACAAACTAACAAACAAACATACACACGTACACACAAATCATACAAAGGTACAGACCAGTAAGACATATCATTGAAGTGTTTAGTAAACTTTGTAAGGTTAGGACTCAACTCCTCAGTCTGCTGTCTAGACCACAGTAGCACCTCTGAAATCTTCAAAGTGATGACGACGACGACGATGATGGCGATGGTGAAAATGACGAAGAAAGATGATGATAATGATGATACGTGATGTGATGATGATGATGGAGGTGGTTGTGGTAAAGATGATTAGAAAAAAACGCTACTTCTCTATACTTTGATGGTTACACTGCTATTGCAGGTGTACGAACAAGCATACATACATATGTACAAACAAACAAAAAAACATAGAAACATTCACACACACAAACAAACAACATACACACACACAGAGAAAAAGAGAGAGAAGAGAATTAAACGAGAGAGAGAAAGAGAGAGGAAGAGAGAGAGAGAGAGAGAAAGAGAGAGAGATAAACATACATCAATTTTTTGGAAGAGTTCGAAATCCAGCAGAGTCATCTGCTCAGCTATCAATAAAGATTTAAACTCCAGTAAATTGTGCGTCCTAGAAGTTATGATGATGATGATAATGATAATTATGATGATGATGATGTTGATGAAGAAAGAGATGATGATGATGAGGATGGTGGTGATGATAATAGTGGAGATTACATTCCCATGGTTCTTACAAATAAATGCTAGAAAACTACAAACAACAACAAGAATAACAATAATAATAACAACAACAACAACAATAATAATAATAAGTTAATAATATAAATAATAAAATCAGTAAAAGTGAGAAGAATAATAATGATGACACGACGACTCAGTGCATAGCGAGGAAAGAAACTACAAACACGACTCAGATACACTCGTGCAAAGGACTTACTTGAAGCTTAATTGATAGGATGTAAGCAGTCTTTTCGTGTCTTTTAATCTGTTTGGGTATTTGTTTGTTTGCTTCTTTGTATGTATGTTTGTTCGTTCTTTTGTTTGTATGTTTGTATATTTTGATGTATGCGTGGATTTATGTGTTTGTATGTATGACTATGTATGCATGCATGTACGTACACTATTGTATGTATGTGTATAGTGAGTTTGTGCGGTTGTCTGTATGTATGTTTGTCACGTGTGTGTTTGCTTGTATGTATGTGTGTGCAATTGTATGTATGTACGTTTGTATGTCGGAATGTATGTTTGTCATATGTTTGCCATATGTTTGTTTGCTTGTTTGTACCTGCGATTGTATGTATGTATGTTTGTATGACGGTCTTCAAAAGTCCTACAGCAGATGAAAGAGAGAGGGAGGAATGTTTCTAATTAGTAGAAATGTCATCGCTAATCTAAACTATCGTTCGGCTCACGATAACGCTTCCAGTTAAAACACGTGTGCGTGTGTGTGCGTGTGTGTGCGTGTGTACTTATCAAGGTCCCAGAAAGTTAATTTCTTATTTTATATCTGTCTGTGTCATTCATTCAATTAGGTTTCTAATCAGTCAGCCAATCAGTCGGTCAATCAATCATTTACATTCAACTGATCAATTAATCAATTAATTAATCAATTAATTAATCAACCGATTGATCTACTTTTTGCGTTCTATAAAATATCAGACTCTGGCAGATGCAGAATCCTGTCTAACACTCATCTTTCTCATCCAATGAAAATATAAATCAATCAATCAATTAACCATTCAACTAATCAATCAACCAACCACTCAACTAGCCAATCAGTCAACTAGCCAATCAACCAGTCAACTAGCCAACCAACCAAACAAACAAAGGACCAACCAACCAACCAGCCAGCCAGCCGACCAACCAACCAACCAACCTATCTTGTTTAACTTTGATCTTAACAACACACTTGTCCCAGAGTTTCTGGGCTTGTTTGAGATCGGCATTCTCAATCAGCCTGCAGACTAGATCTATGCCCAACTCTAAAACATCCGAATCCGTATCTATGCTGGTTGAGTGATGATGATGATAATGATGATGATAATGATGATGATGATGATGATGTGGTTACGTAATGATGACGTGATGATGATGATTATGTGGTTACGTAATGATGACGTGATGATGATGATGATGTGGTTATGACGTCATAATGTGGCGTGGTCACGTGATACGGCGATTATGAAGTGACGGTGTGTTGACGATATGATAAGCAGAGCACGCATAGACCCACATAAACACACACACATTCACACGCGCGCACACACTCACTCACATTCACACACACACAACAACAACAACAATAATAATAAAAACAACAACAAAAAACAACTAACCAGACGTCATCAACAACCCTAACAATCAAAGAGAATGCATTTCGACAGCACTTCTTATAGCTGCTAGCCAGGCCACTGCTAACACTTTTGCTAGAATTATTATTATTATTATTATTCCTTAAAACATTATTATTATTGTTGTTGTTGTTGTTGTTGTTGATGACGTCACAATATTTCATGTTGAATTTGTCGTATCTATAGATTAGTTTTTGAACGAGTTGTTGGGGGGAGAGGAAGGTCCTATAGGTCATGAGGAAAGCTTCTTGGAAGAGAAAATCAGCTGTTTGTGTGTTTGTGAATGTTTGTACGTGTGCGTGTGTGTTTACAAGTGTGTGTGTGTGTGTGTGTGCGTTTGTGTGTGCGCGTGTACGAGTGAATGCTTGTTGACTAATTTATGTTTTATATGCAAATATGTAGATGATTAAGGGTAGCTAAAGGAATTGCTAGATTGATTGATTGACTGATTGATTGATTGATTGATTGATTGATTGGTTGATAAAGGAATGAATGAATGAATGAATGATTGATTAATGAATGAATGAATGAACGAATGAATGACAGACAAATGAGTAAGATTAGTTGTAAAATGAATGAAGCAAGCATTGAATGAAAACAAAAAACAACCGAATGAACGAATGGGTTTAAGAATGACGACGACGACGATCGACGACGACTTACCTGTCGTTGTAGCGTGGACGATGAGAGCGTCAACGCTTCCCGCTTTCACCTCCATGCTGCTGCTGCTACTGTTGCTACCACCATCACTCTGTGAAATAACAGCAACAACAACAACAATAATAGCAATAATAATAACAACATAACAACAATAATAATAATAATAATAATAATAATAATAATGAATGATATAAGTGACAATGATGACGATTAATGATTTTCAACAATGATGATGATGATGGTGGTGGTGGTGATGATGGTTGTGATGATGACGATGATGGTGACGATGATGATGATGATGGTGGTGATGAACTTACTTGATCATTGAAGCAAAGATACTCAGTTGCTGTGTCCAAATCCAAGATGGCGGCCAGCTGTTGCTGCATAGCTGCTCTGACGTCATCACTTGCTGCTGCAGTTGGTGGTGTTGATGGGGTTATTTCAATTGCAAGCACCTAATTAACGTAAATTAAATAATTACTAATCATAATTACTAATCCTGATTACTGACAACAACAACAACAACGCCAACCACAACAACTACAAAAACAACAACAATAGCAACAAAAACAACAAAAAAACAACAGAAACAACAACAGCAACAAAGACAACAACAACAGTATCAAATCCACACTAACAGGTTGATTTCCTTGCTTAGGTGGCAGAGCAGGTGGTGACGTCGAAGACGACGACGAATCCCTCTTGTCGCCAGTGAGGTCACCGCTAATACCACCACCAACAATATTACTCCCGCTACAATCGCCACTCGATTCTGAGGAGAACAAACTAGAATTATGACTTGAAGTAGTGGCAGTAGACCCTCTCTTTTTCATCATTTTCTCTCCGCCAGTTAGCATCAACATCTCACCGTCACGGCTGCCTCCGCTGCTGCTAGCGGCAAAAAGCGACATCCCGAGGCCACTGCTGCTACTGCCGCTGCTGCCATAAAGTTCTTGAAAGTGTTGGAAGTACTTGGTTCTGTAGTAGTCGACGTTGATGCTGGCAGTGTTGCAGAAGAATCGCTGGTCGCAGTAAAAAGTTTGCTGATGCTGCTGCTGCTGGTGAAGCTGCTGCTGGTGCTGCTGCTGATGACGTTGTTGATGATGATGGTGTTGGCGTAAGACCACCGTGTTGTTGTTGTTGTTGGTGGTGGTGGTTGTTGTAGAGATGATGTTGTTGCCGGTGATGTTGCTGGTGGTGGTGGTGGAAGTTGAAGATGGCGGAGTGGCGGGCTGAGTTGGAGGCAGTGGGAGCATGGATGAGCCAAAGATGCACATGTATGTCTCAACCGCTGGATGAATAGATGAATGAACGATGAATGAATGAATGAATGAATGAATGAACGAATGAATGAACGAGGGAATGAATGAATGAATGAATGAATGAATGAACGAATGAATTATTTGACTAATGGATTAATAAATATATAGATGGGTAGATGAATGAGTGACAGATCAGCTGGTTGATAATAAAGTTGAGCGATTAATTGCTACTGTGCTGTGTTGAATTAAAAATATACGAAATAAATTATCTATTATTTCATTGTTCATCAATTCATTCGTTCATTCATTCATTCACCCATTCTTCCGTTCGTTCGTTCGTTCATTCATTCATTCATCCGTCCATTCCTTCATTCCAATCACCTGGTTTCTGCTTAGGAGGGAGAGGGGGAGGTTGACCAAGATCGTCATCATCACAACCATTGTTATTGTTATTATTATTATTGTTATTGTTATTATTATTGTTATTATTATTGAATGCTACTGATGACGTCGACGATGACGTGTTTGATGACGTAACAGTTAATGATTTAAAAATAGATTTCGAGGACTTCCTAACTTCGGCAGTGGCCGTTCTCACTGATGATGATGCTGACGACGACGACGACGATAACGATGATGAAGTCGCCACTGACATAAAAAATGATGACGAAGACGACGATGACGATGGCGTATTGATGATAGTATTCGAGTCCTTGACATTGAAAACGTCCCCACTATCTGATTGGTTACCACCTCCATACGTAACCTTCCTACTGACCGAGAATGATGATGACGACGACAATGACGACATTGATTTCATATTGAACGGCGACGACGATGATGACGACGATGATGGTGGTGGCGTGAAAACTGGTAACGGCGATATCAACGACGACGATGACGTAATGCCCTTTAACTTGGACAAATCAGGAGTGCGGGGTGGTTTCGGAGGCGGCACGTCGTCCAATAGGAGCTCCTCAGAGGAGGCGCTTAGAAAAGAATTAACGCTATTGGTCGGCGAACGACCGGTAAAAGTGCCGGGAGCATTTTCAAGGTCTGAGCAGCCTTGTGATTGGTTGCTGAAGTTGCAACTGCCATTGGACGCGTACCTCTTGTAGAAGAGCTGCTTGGCTAGCTGTGTGTTCTTAAATATGTCATCTGGGTTTGTCCTGAGTTATGGCGATGATGATGATGATGATGATGATGGGACAAAACTATAATGATTTGCCAATACATAACCACCATAGATATGAAACTAAAACAACGACAACAACAATGACATAGACGTGAAATTAACACAAGAACCAAAACCCAGAACATTAAATACCGGAGATCACCATAGAAAATAAATTTTTAAAAAATCACTTGAATTAAAAAAAAACATAAACAAAAGATGATAATACAAAAAAAAACAAGATGGCTGACCCTTGTAAGAAACTCCAAGACGGTAGAACAAGTTGCTGTGGTTTAGGTGGCTTAGGAGGTGGCGAAGATGATGACGACAGTGACGACAGTGAGTCGGCCAGTATGTCGTCTGCCGAGTACGACAATGACGTGCTGATGTTGGAAGATGTCATCGTCGTCGTTGTTGTTGTTGTTGTTGTTGCCGTGTTGGTTGACGTCATTAGTGATGTGGTTGTTGTTGTTGTTGATGATGTTGATGTCCGAAAGTTTTTGTTGTTGCTGAATCTTTTGCGTAAGTGAGTGAGTGAGTGAGTGAGTGAGTGAGTGAGTGAGTGAGTGAGTGAGTGAGTGAATGAGTGAGTGAATGAGTGAGGAAATGGCGATGATAATGCCGTGATGGATTTTTGTCTTTAGATATCATTAACATCCTCGTCGTCGTCATCATCGTCATCATCATCATCCTCACCCTATTACCACCAAAAAAACATCATCACCATCTTCATAACAACAAAACCATAATTAACATCATCATTAACATCATTATCATGATCATTATTCTCAGACTACGACCATCATCATCATCACCACTACAATCATCATCATCATAATTTCTTACTCATCCTTCAGAGGCATCTTAGATTTGTCATCAGGTTTGGTAGTGACATTGTCGTTGTTGCTACAGCTGCTGCTGTGATCCCCTAAAAATTCCTGTAATCATAATAATTAAAAGTAATTTGTTAGCTGATTGATTGATAGATTGATTGATTGATTGATCGATTGATTGATTGATTGATTGACTGATGAATAAACAACAACAACAACAACAGTAACCCCAACCTTAACAAGATTCTTGAAAGACATCAGCATATCACCCCCCTCTCTAATCCAAGCGTCGTCGCCAGGGCCGCCTCCATCTTCGCCACCATCACCGCCACCACCACCACCACCACCACCACTACTACTACTACTACTACCACCAATAATGACGTCACCATCAAGGCTGTTGTTTTTTTTTTTGTTGATGTCATTTGAGATTCTGTCGTAGGAAAATCTCATCAACTCGATCAACTTCTTGCGTATTAGTTTCTGTGATTGTTTGCTATGCTCTCTGCGAATGGTACTGGAAAATTTTTTTTTAATTTAATATTTTTTTTTAATTTAATCTATTATAATTTAATCTATTATAAAACTTTTATTTTATAATATTTGAAATTTTTTTTTAAATTTCATATTTTTTTAAATTTAATCTATTAAAATACAATACAAGATACCGTACAGACATACAACACCATACAAATACAACACAACACAGATACCTTCTTTGTAATACAAGATAATATACAAATAATATAATGATACAGTACAATACAATACAACAAACATAGCAGTACACAATTCCAATACAAAACAACTCAAATACCTCTTATATAATACAAGAATATATACAATACAATTCAATACAAATTACAATACAATACACATTACGATACAATACAATTCAATTCAATACATAAATACACATTACAATTCAATAATGTTGTAATGTGTATTTGTTCCCGGAAAAAATCTGATTATAATTCAATACACATTATAATTCAGTAGACATTACAATACAATACAAAAATACAGATACAAATACAATATCAGTTTATAGAAAACAAGATATGTACAAGATACAAGACAAGATACAAGATACAAAATACATATAAGATATATACAAGATAAAAAACAAATACAAGACAGACAATACACATACAAAAGAGTAATACCCACATAAAATACCTTTTATTCTCGGCCAGTATAGATTCTAGTTCTATGAAATTTTCCAGCATTACACTAATCGCTCCTAACAGCAATTCAAATCTTTTTTTATTGATCACATGGTCGAGATAGTTAATCGACTGATGGAGTTTTTTGTTACTATCCTCAATTAGTTGGCCATGCTGTGTGTGGAGTTTGGGGTCAGTTTGTTAGTATTAATATTGACTTATAATTATTATTTATTTATAATAATTATTATTATTATTTACTTTATATTTCATTAAATTAAAACAATTAAAATTATTTTCTAACAGTTTTGAGGACAGTCTTATGGTCTGCCTTTCGACTACTAGTGAAACTACCCGTTCGTTTGAATGATTTTCTTTTACTATCTTTGGATAATGTGCCATTTTTGTTGTTGTTATTAGTAGTGGTGACCGTCAGTTTGTCGTTTGGCCCCACAGATTTTTTCCGGGATATTTTACTTAATTTGTTAGTTGAATCATTTCTGAGTGTAAAGTTCTTGAATATGGATTTTAGATCACTGGATGGATCTGTGATTTTAAAATTGTATTTAGAAAAAAAATTTTAATAACAAATTTCAATCTAATATAATTATAATATATTAATAAATTAATAACTAATTTATAAAATTAGAATATTAAATTGATTTGGAAAAAATTATTTTAAAATTAAAACTATAGCTTATTTTATCCGAACCAAAATCGTAAAAAAACTAAAAAATAAATGAAAAAATTAACCGGCGGAAAGATATTTTACATTCATTTCTTCACACAATTTAGAGAATTAAATTAAATTAAACAAACTAAAATAATAAATAAAAATAAACGAAACGCGTGGGACGCAAGCTATGTTCATCATTAGCTTACTGTATGGGCAGCCAGATAGTTTTTGTCATTAAGTTTAAACTTTTGCTGATCCAATAAACTTTTCAAAAAATAAAATTATGTAATCTTAATTATATAATATTTACATGTTATATAATTATAAATTAACTAGAACAAGACTGGCTGTGAAAAAGCTGATAAATAACGTCATTGAGGCAACAGTCATAAAAGGAAAATACAAAGGAGAGGATGTCTTGATTCCGCGGATACCGATGATTGCAATTCCATTCAATTTTAAACGCTTACAATTTCCAGAACGCCTGGCCTTTGCGATGACCATAAATAAATCACAAGGACAGTCGTTAGAAGTTTGCGGAATCAATTTGGAGTTTGCCTGTTTCGCGGGTTGACATTTACACGTCGCCTGTCGGAAAACCGTCTTCTTTGTTTATTTACGCACCACAAAACAACAAATATAATTTATGAGAAGGCTTTAAATTGATTAACAAACTGTTTCATAGCAGCGTGTGCCTGTCAATATCAAATTTGAACATTGTAAATAGCCAGTATTTCTGGAAAACTCTGTTTTGTAATTAAGCATTTTTTATTAAATACAGATTCGTTTTGTTTATTTTAAAATTATTTTACACAAAAGTTTAGGTCTTATTTATCGATTGAGACAGAAACAGATAATTAATGTAATATTTTTCACAAAATATTTCTATTTTTTATTCAAATATGAGCTCAGTCCGTTGAGAATTAGAGAATTATTTGAAAGATTATTCAATAGTTGATAGTCAGTCAAGTACTCCATATTACCAATTGATTCCACGGCCGTGTCTAACTTGGGACTGAAAAAATTATTAAATTATTATAGCGAGGAACAAAAAGAAGTGATCATTACATGCAAATGAGCCAATCAATTTGATTTGAATTTATTTGCGGTAAAGTCTCTTACTAATCGATAAAAGATTCTTTGCACGATTGAGAAATATGTTGGAGGTATGTTTTACAATGAACGCTCTCCGACTTATGCTGTCTCCAAAGTTTCGCATCACTTTTCGAGGTCGCCGAAGAAGTAACTACAGTGTTTGAGTGCTTACTCGCTAAAGATTTGAATACGTTCCGACATTTTTCGACAAAATCTACAACAAAAAAATTCATTATTTCAATTTTAAATTACGAGACAAAAACGACGAGAGTAAAATAACGTTAAGTTTTTAGCAGGTTAAAAAGAACAAAACAATCTACCCACCTTCATACGAAAAGAGTAAATTAAACGAAATAATAAAATCGTTAAATGGGAGTGTTGACGTTTCGTCTACATCGTTCTGCCTTTTAATTCTGTAATTTAATAGCCAATTCTAGGTAGTTTTTTTTCAAAAATAATGAACATTACACTAATTTTATTCTACTTGAAACTTTTCTTCATGACCGAAATTGGAAAGTCGCTGCAGAGAAGCAGAGCATAGGAATGATACTCTGCTAACGAAATTTTTTCTGTGAAAATGAATAAACATTTAATTAAACTTTCAACTTTTTAAATAGATTAATTGACTAACAATTTATTTATACTTTGAAATTCTGTCTAACCGTATATCTTCCCAATGCTGTTGAAACATATATAATACTGCATAACGAACGACTGCCTGTTGTGGAGGGTAGCTGATACGAAAGCATATTCACGCAATAGAACGTGAGTGCCTAATTTCACGCTGATAAAACTAGAAAATTAACAAAAAACACGTTGAAAATAAATTAAATTATGTTTAAAAAATTAAACCCAAAAGCTTACTAATCGTAGAAAAACTTTTGATAGTCATTTTTCGAAATGTCATTCTTTATGATCAGCAACTGAGTCGTGGCATCCTCAAGGTAAACCAACATTTTTGATTTTGCTTTGGAATTGGTTACATGTTTTAGTGTAAATATTTAAAATATTAACACAGTTAGTAAAATTATTTGATAAAAAACATCAAAAACCATTATTTCTATTTTTAAAATGTCGATTTCATAAACTAAAATTAAATTGTAATTGTATGAAATGAAGATGAACAGATGATGAATTCTGTTTGGTTTGACTTTGGCTTACTTAGGTAATTATCAGCCAAATTTTTCAATGTCATATTTAAAAAAAACAGTTTAAATTTTTAAAAAACAATATAAATTGAATAATAAAAACCTAAAATGATATAATAAATGTTACAATTCGTGAAATTTGGGGTTGCTAATGAAGTAGCACCTGGTTGCTAAGCGGTTGTTAGCATAGTTCGAATCCACTTTTAAGGCAAAGAGGTAGGTTCTGAGCTTGAGCAGTTTATAAAGTTTTAAAAAACATTTTTAACTTACAAAATGCTATTAAATTTTAATAATTTAAAAAAAATATTTTTGAATAAAACTTTTCAACGAATATTTCAATAAATATTATTCTTTTTTAAAATTGTATCAAAGCTATTCAAATCTAGGCCAACATTTGTTTATACATATGCGCCATCTAGCTGTTTTCTTTGAATTTTATTTTAAATTTAATTTATCAAAAATTTATTTAAATAGCTATTTAATTGTATAAAATGGCTAATAATTTGTTGACTTGATATTAATTACTGTAATTTACGATTATCGGAGTTTGTTTTTATATAATAATTCAGTAAAATTAAGAGTTTAGGCTATAAAAGTCGATTTTTTAAATTTTTTGCTACTCTTGTTTTTGAATTAGTCAGGGATCAGGAGCTGTTATTAATGGTGAGTATTTATTGTTCTTCAATTTTTGGAGTAATTAATATGTGTCGTTACTCTTTTTTTTTGATTAACGAAAAGTGTTGAAAAATTGAGTTTTTCTTTGGTTTGAAGGGAAGTTGGTAAGTGTGAGTGTGAGTGCCATAGTCAAACAAAATTTGACATGGCCATCACTTTCAATTCGGCTAAGTTTCAATCAATCAATTAAAAATTTATTTAATTTAATTAAAGTTACAGGCGTCATTGTTATTTTTGTATTTTTTAGAAATTATTTCTAAAACTTTTTTAAGTTTAAAATTAAATTAAAATTTATAATTTTATATAGAATATTATAGATTAATAATAGAACAACAAGACAACAACCTACATTATCTGAAAATCACTATTTCACTAATAATTATATGACTAACCTACATTACTAGATCTTTTTTTGCCATTTTTGACATTTTTTGTCAACCAATGTTTATCAACTAGCAGTTTCCCAACCCTTTGAAACATGCTATTGTAACCACACTTCTAAAAAAATCAAATTTGGACGACAACGTTTTATCAAATTACCGTCCTATCTCTAATCTTTCATTCATTTCTAAAGTCATTGAACGAGTTGTTATCAAACAATTGTTACAGCATTTAAACAAAAACAATTTGTTGCCAAAGAATCAATCCGGCTTTCGTCAATATTTTTCCATAGAAACTGCACTCAATGATATTTTCTCCCAGTTGTTCTCTTCAGTTGACAGTCAATGCGTTTCTTTTTTAGCATTACTTGAGTGCTGCATTTGATTGTGTCGATCATACTCGTCTCATATATAAACTCTCCACAAATTTTTTTCTCTCTGATTCAGTCTTATCATGGTTCGCTTCCTATCTTTTAGGCAGCACCCAGCAGGTTTCTTACAACAACACCCTCTCTGACATAAACAAACTATCTTTTGGTGTCCCCCAGGGATCTGTGTTGGGACCTCTGTTGTTTCTTATGTACACTGCTGATGTTTTGATATCATTCAAAAATATGAGTTCAGCTCCCACGCCTTTGCTGATGATATTCAGTTATTGGTTTCTTGTCCTGTTGATTCGATTGATGCTTCTCTGAATGAACTGACTGACTGTCTCATCGAAATTGGATCTTGGATGAGTATGAATCAGTTAAAGTTAAATCAATCTAAAACACAAATATTACCGGTTGGTTCTTGGCAGCAGCTGTCGAAGGTCAACATTTCATCGATCAGTGTCGGCAATGACATCATTGAATTTTCCACATCTGTCCGTAGTCTTGGAGTTATTATTGACTCAAACTTAAAGATGGATTTACATATTAATAATTTAGTGAGGGTCTGCTCCAACCAACTCCGTTTATTACGCAATGTCAAAAAATTACTAAACACGTCTGTTCTTCAAAGCTTGGTTTCCTCTTTCGTCTTTTCCAGACTAGACTACTGCAATG